AGATAGATAGATAGATAGATAGATAGATAGATAGATAGATAGATAGACAGACTATAAATGTGAGGCATCCAGTATCATGTTTTAATTATACAGAAAAAAAACATGTGAAATAATCAAATAATAATAATAAAACTGTGACATGGTGCAAAACATGTATTATAGAAACATGAGGAACCAGGCACCATAACATGTGTATTAATGGGATTAACCTGTATAAATCAAGGTTGAATGAATTTATGAAGTCTGCATGATGTTTGAACACATGATGAAAATATTCATAGAAAGCATCTCAGTCTAATTCACATCAAGTACTTTCATAGAAAATGTCTTACCTTTAGTGTTGAAGAAGCATTCGCTGCTGGTATACACAGAAAAACATGGCAGACTGGCCCTCAGGAGCAGGAGTGAAGCCACGAGTGCTCCTGCTGTCTTTGCCATTTCTTGAAGGAAAATAGAGCTTTACACAAGTTTTATTATTTTAACCTAAAATAAAAGAAACACAACAATCCAATGAACACAGACTTACTTGTGACAGCTCTTCAGTCGTATGCGTTTGTCTTCCCTCCTTTGCTTTGTTTCTTTCACTCTTTTGCTGTTTTCACATTCCCCCTGCTTTCCGTTCTCCTCTTTCTTGAACTGATGCTCTTTTTTCCCGTGATCTCAGGTATTTATATCGCACTGCCACAAACCCATTGCCCCCGTCCCCTCAACAAAGCCCAGCACATGTCACATGCATTTTTATTATAATGTTCATCTCCTGCCTCAGTGCTGCAGAGTATACAGTGTGCTCTTCTTCAAATAGCATTTGCCTCAATGGATGACGTTTGACCCCAGCGGTGGATCCAGCTGCTTGCATCATCTACGGGACAGCCAACCCACGGTTGAGTGTTTCAGCCTGTATCTGTGTGAACAGGAGTTTAAACATCAACCTTCGGCTCCCTTCATCCCTGCTCAAAAAAGAGATGATTTTCAAGCACATCATTATTCCTGTTTGTTAAATTTCACTAAAGATTTTATGTAGTTTTGCACCATAATATATGTATAAATAAGAACTTTTTTTTAGGATGAAAGGAGAAAGATGAGAGTTGAGGGCATTCGATAAAACTTGAGCTCATTTTGGGCCTTTTTTTAATCTTTAAATTAGTTTGAATAAGCCTATCCTATCCTGTGGGGCATGACCTCATATGCAAACACTGAGACGCGGACGCACCAATTTGTTTGTTAATTTGAGTAGATTTCACTGCCTGAAGGCTTTTTTATCTTAATCTTAACCTGGCAGTCCGCTCATTTCACAATTATTTTATTTATGGTGACAACAAGCAAAGAACGAGACTCCAACCCTCCATCCTCAGAGTAATAATCCTGTAAACCAGGAATCTGACAAGAAACCAGAAGGTTGTTTCACACAAAGCCAACACAAAGGATGTTTCACCCAATAGTTGTGGAAAAACTTGAACAAATGCTGAAAACACGTGAAATAAACATTCCTAATCAAGAATGTTTTTTTTTTTTAATGATTTTATGTCAAAGCTTCGAGGCTGCAGCTGAAACAGAGAGCTCTGTCTGAGTGTCTGAGTGTGTGCAACCCTGAGTGAAAGTGTTCTGGATATTACTATAAACTATGTGTGTGTGTGTGTGTGTGTGTGTGTGTGTGTGTGTGTGTGTGTGT